CAGATGGACGGACTGATGGGCAGGCCGTACTTCACTTTCCCCTCATTACAGGTTTTACAGAGTAATGCTTTATTGATGTAATGATCAGGACATTAGAAATTTGAAATCACAAAGTGTCTCTGGACTGTAATTATGTTCAAAGGTCTGTTTAAAGCAGGATGGCTCACAGTCCAAGACGATGTGCTTTCGAGGAGTGCCAATTTACTCTGCCACACTACAACAACCAGCACAGACAGTGACTGGCACAGACAGTGACTGGCACAGAGCACGGCACTGGTTTTGTTGGAACGAACTGCACTGCCAAGAATGCAATGGGACAATCTGACACATGCGGCGAGGAAGCTGAGGAAGGAGGTTTTGTTGCACAGTGAATGAAGAGACTCTGAGGGGATGAAAAATGAGAAGGATGGCCTTAAAATAATGTTACGCCGCTCAATAGCGTACTTCTGTGTTACACCTCTGTAGCCTAGATATTAGGGCTGTCACTGTCAAACACAAATCCAGTTTGGGAGTGCCTTGGTAGCCGAATGGTTACAGCACATGACATGTAGCCACGATGCCGGGGGTTTGATTCCGGCCTTGAGACCTTTGTTGCAAGTCATAACCCTCTCGATCCAGACTGCCTCTATGCTGTCATCTGTTGAATGAAGCCAAAATAATGCCAAAGTTTGAATGAATGTAAACTAACACATACGTAGCTTGTAACTCTGCACTAATGTAGGATTGATGCTGTTGCTCTGCTGCTTCACTTGAGTATTGTTACTGTTACTGTAAGGAAGCTTACAGTTTGTTGTAACCCCAACATTTTTTTATCCCTTGTGTTGAATCCAAAATACTTCCTCACATTACTTCTCAGGAAGTTTGTTGTGGGGATGATCTGTTCAGCGCAGCTTGTTTACTCTCTTTTATGTTAGCAGAGCGAACAGCAATTGCTAAACTCTTCTGCAGGCAGCAGGACACATAATACAATAGATAAGAGTTGCACTGCACTTTATGAAAGCCCCTCGCTGGACTACAAGACAGACCTGTTGTGTTTACATGCACTCCACATCTTCAGCATGGAAGTTCATGTGGATACATTTTCGAGAAACTACAAATTGGAATTCGAACAGATCATTAGAAACCGAAAACGTGATTTATGCCCACGTTCAAACTGGGGGAAAGGAAATTGTGCCGCGTGTAATGCGAGTGTGTAGCTGTGTACGTGGGTGTGTTTGTGTGGAGCTGCTTCCCTGCATCTACGTACGTGCAACACAGTACATCCTTTTGGGTGTTTGTGTGAGTCAGCACCGTGATTGTGGACATTGTGCGATGAATCACATTGTGGTTGTGGTGGTTGGAGAAAAGACTGGTAGTAACAACGGATTTCATCAAAGCTCAGCAATGACAAACATATGTACAGTGCATTGTTACTTGCACTGTACGTGATTAAAAACATTAAACAATAATCCCGGCGTGACTGAAGCGTTTTGCAAAGTTTTTCATTTTGGATTCCATTCATGTTAATTCTGTCGGTCGTCATCTAAGAGCTCATGAATTATAATTATATTCTGAATAACTGCTTCAGAGACTTTGATTGCGGTTAGTATAAGTTGCCACCAGCCCACCACTATATAAGAATAAATGGTATCTAAAGTTACATGAGAACATTAATATCAGGCTATTTACGGTCATGTTTGGGAAACCCCACAAAGCTGATTTCTTCCACTTTTAGCTTCTCTGGATTCAGTGTTTCCCTCTCCGACAGCGGGCAACATCTGTCCGTCTCAAACTATTCAAGTCAAATATCTGCTGGCGCTCCTTTCTTTGCATCTGTGGCAAAGCCAAGTGAGCAAAATAGCTGAGGTGAACATCTGTATAATACAATATAATATGTACCATATTGTCTGACTCAGCATGTCATGTATGTATCACTGGAAACTTGTCGAAAGAAACTGTGGTAAATGTGCATTCTCAGATGGATTGTCATCTTTGCTGTAGGAAACCATGAGGGAAACTCAGTGCAATGGAAAAAGTGTACATCAGAGGTAATGTTACAATACCATGACTAACGGGAAAACTCTTTACAACATGTGTGAGCTGGACACCCACCGGGTACACGGGGATCATGACAGTATATGACTACCAGCAGCAGCTGGAAAGAAACCGCTGATGACCAGATGTGAAGCTTGGAGCCAGACGCTTTTCAAAATGTCTGACTCAGCCTCCTGCTGGAAGTAGGCTGCTTTAATTCTGCCATATTAACCGTTTTTCACCGGGACCGCCTTAATAAGCACCTATTAGTAATAATTGTGATGCTATATCTCCTGTAATGAACTGATGTCAGGCAAAACAAGACAGACTAATTAACAAGTGGGGACACTTCTGATGGGGAATCTGCAACTTAGACTTAAAGGGACAGTTCACCCCAAAATCAAAGGTACATTTTTTTCCTCTTACCTGTAGACTAAAAAATCCACCATAATCTATAAGAAGTTGCTCACAATGACCCCTGTGGATAATCCTGAGTAAACGGGGCTTCATTTCTGAAAAGAGACATGAGTTTGAGTTTTTCCAAATGTATTTTTTGGGCGCTTTAAGCACCACAGGCCGAGTGCCATATAGTCCATATTTATATACGGAGAGAACGCAGACATCTCCAAAACTAGGCAACTCGTACCAAAACAATCTAGGTACAAGGAAGAATATGTAATTATGTTTTTGGGTTGAACTGTCTCTTTAACACTCACAGCTAACATAATGTCAGTCAAGCGCTTTATACATCCAGATACACGAGGCATGTGGAGATGTGAACAACAAGCTGTGGTGTCTGTTGGACGAGAGAAGAAAACATCTTCGCTCTCCGGCAGAATTTCCCTCAAGAGACACAACGGGAGAACACTAATGACAACTGTAGCCTGTCTGCTGGGATGACACATCCAGAGCTATGCATAACGTTTCCAACCAAAAGAAGTTATTACATAGAAATGCTGCTATTGTCATACTGTAGCTTCTGGCTCATTCTATTCTGGATCAAAGTGGTGCTCTCCCCTCTCTCAGGCGTGGCGCCTCATACAGCATCAGTTGGCGCTCATGCGTCACCCTGAGGCTGGACAACTCTGCCTTGCCAAGCCACACACACACACACACACACACACACACACACACACACACACACACAAACACAAACACACAGCGCCCAAACAGGGAGAAAGAATGAAAATACAGTGGTGAACCATTTGAGGGAATGCATGTGGCCCAGGGAGACCAGTTGAATGTGAGGAGTCCGGGGGCCACAGAGCTGCAGAGAGCTGGTTGACAATCTGACTGGCAGCCGGCGAGCTGACTGGCTGGTGGGACTGACTGGCATACAGGACTGTGTGAAGTGCCTCGAGGTGATAGGGGATGAAGGCCCTTCTTTAAAAGGTCACGAGTGCAGATCCACTGTGTGTTTTAACAGTGAAACACCTTTGGACAAACCGGTGTTGACGCAGCGTGAATAGGTAGTGACACAACTGACTGCCGGCTCCTGTTATGTCCCTGCATTACTAATTTATGTACAATCCTTATTTGAATATTGCAGCAATTTTATAGCGAGTGATAACCATACCCTAAAGTGTTATAATGTAAACTCACTAATGAGTCCCTGCAGGACTATTACAGGGATATTACAGTGATATTTCTTTGGAGGATTCTCCGACTGTCGAGAAATAGACTCAGATAGAAGCCGCACTTAGCACGACTCTGTGCTGTGGTAGATGCCGGCAGGTGGGACAAACAGACTACCAGATGACGCCGGGTGAGTCACGGTAGAATCTGCGGAGGAGACAGATGATACAGTGCACGGCTCCGAGTGACTGACTGAGCGCGGAGGCCAGAGTGTATCGTGCTACATCAAAGCCGGTTATCTACTGGCTGCATGGTGGCTGAGGAGTGGGCTATACTTGAATGGTTGGCAGCTTTTTGTGAAGGGAAAGCAATGCCCGCTTGCCAGGAACAACTGCGTCCAATTTCTTCAGGGCAGCCTAACTGCTTGGGAGACCACGCGAAGCAAGATGCTCAATTTTGGAGAATATTAATTGCGGGGATCAGGTTGGGAAATTAATCACATGCTGCAAGGAAGCCCTGTACAAATACAGAAGTGCTTGGTGTGGAGCCTCCAGGGCACGGGGAGCAGTCAGTGGAGTCCACAAACACACGTTTGGATCTTTGGGAGCCAATTCTTAAATGTCCAGTGGTAAAGCATGGCACTAGCTCCTCTACTTCTGAACGGACACAGTTCCACAGGCTATCTTTAACGCAATTTGTTCATTAAGCTGGTCTGTATGTTTGCTTTGGCGCCACAATCACATCCATCTTGACCTGTGTGTCTCATGCTGCCACTAGCAATAAAGCTGTTTGCCTTTTCACAAACACCAGATGACTCTGATCTTTGTACACTCATCAAAAGCAACTCCGCAAATTAGGTTATGTGTCAATTTGGCCTCTCGCAGACTGCTGAGCCATGCAGCTACTGTGTGTGACTTAAAATACCAAATAGACCGAGACAGGCACGCGCTTCGACCCCAGTCAGTGACTCTGCTATTCATATCTGTTGGAAGGATTTGCCCCTGTTGTGCTATCATTTTGCCCCGGAGTGAACTGCACGCTGAGTTGAGATTTCATACTCAGCTTCGGCATAAAGTGGAGTCTGCGTTCATTCCAACGGCGTAATGCGTGGCCCCTGTCCTCAGCCAGCATTCAGCTGAGGATGCTCGGAGTAAATAAAAAGGGCTCGCTTGCATCTCTCTCGCTTTAGACATCCTATGGTTTCCCTACGAGAACGCCTCCGTTCAAGTGACAACAGTCAAACATTCATTGGTTTTGAGGCCCGGCCGAGTGCTTTTCTCCCCCAAAAGCGCAAAAAACTGGAGATGTGTTGACCTGTCTGCCAACCTCTCTCGGGCTTCATCCCCGGCGAGACAATCGCTTTCTTTGAGCGTGGATGTGATATGACTACATCGGTGGCGCATCTGTCTTACCGGCTGCTGTATGTGGCGAGACGTCCCCTTCCCGGCTGGAGGAAGATGCTGCCGTTGCTGCTGCTGCTGCTGCTGCCGCTGGACCCCGTGCTGGAAATAGTCGCTGCCAGCGGCTTTGCTGCCTGCGACCCGGTCCCTCTTCTCCCGCACGTTGGAGCCTCCGTTTTCCCTGTCTTCGCCAGAGTCGAGGCTGCTGAAGTTCCACACAATCAGCGTCTGGACCAGCAGCACCGTGAGGGCTACTATCAGGGCGGACCGCGACCGGCGGGCCAACCTGCGAGCGCACAAGCCGCCGACCATCTTCGTACCGCGCCGCACGGTGCTGGAGGACCGTCTGTGGCTCTGCGCAGCGCGACGGGAGGAAGGAGTGGAAGTAGAGGGAGGACGAGGAGGAGGAGGAGGAGGAGGAAGAGAAGGAGAAGGAGGAGGAGGAGGAGGAGGAGGGGGAGGGAGCGAGGCTGAGCTGACGGTGGCGAGGAGGAGCATCGAGAAAGGAGAGGCACAGGGCCACCGTGTGGTGAAACTCGGTGAGAAAACGTCTGTGATGCGCCAGGCTACTGTACCGTCTGCTCTCTGCAGGCTCTCTCTGGGTGAGGACTCACACCGGACAATTTCCATCTTTCTAAGAGGAGGACTCTGATTAAGACCAGATATTTGCAAATGTCCTAATTTGCAATGCTTGATGTGATTATTACAGCATGTATTATTGGGCCTCCAGGGCCCCCCCCCCCCACACACACACACAGGGGCGTAGCCAGGAATTCTGGGTCCCATCATGTAATGTTTGACTAATTCAAACATCCCCATAGCATGTTTTGGGGGGCTTGTTTAACGTAAGAAAGATTATTCAATTTTACACCCCACTGGTTGCATCCAATCTGAAATCGAACGGAAAAATGAACTATTTCTTCCTCCCAGCTGTAAGTGACAGCTGTGTGGTGGAGCTGGTATGAATTCAAAGATTTGCCCCCTGCTTGGGTGTGCCTGCATCTGTTCTCGCTCCTTTGCAGCGAACTGTAAGGCGGAGCTGTTCACTCCCAATGCTCAGAGCTACTCTAGAAGATGCCAGTCCCCGAAGTAAAACTCTCTTGTTGTGTTTGGATTACATATTATTTTGTCCCTCACGAAAAATCCATCAAGCCTCCCAGAAGAGCGCCGGGCTTTGAACCAAATTTTACATAGTTGCCAAACCATGGCATTACAACGTCCGGGTCCGTCACACGATGCCGCTGGGCCCAAAAAGACTTTGCCATAGATTTACATTGGGGAGCAGCGTCTGTAAATCAGCGGATTCCATTGCTGTATCCGGTTCTCTTTATACATCCACGATATCCACACATCACATCTTTTTACATCTGTCTCCCAGTTCAGACGGAGCCACATAGGCTACTTAGATACATTCTTGGCACAATAATGAACATTTTAAAAAGAAAGTCATATCTTTTTTTCCCAGCAGATGACATGTCATAAATGAGTACAGCTACAACAGAGAAGACATGGCTGAGACTGGGTTTATTTCACCTTAGTGCTTCAGCAGACATGTTCAATCATTTCTCTGCTACTCAAACCGGTGGTCTCCTTGGACTTTTAACTGAATAGCCCACGTAAACAAATGTCTGTAGCATTTGCGTCTGCTGTTTGGTTCTGGTCAGGTAGCGTACAGAAAATGTAAAATGTAAACAAACAAAGCGCTGAATGACCGGTGGAGCTGAGGGGAACTCCAGGGTCGGGGATGGTTCTCAGTGGGTTCGCCACTAAGGCCACATTTTTCACATTACATGTTGTCATGTGATCCACTGTTTATATAAAAAATATTATTGCAGTTTAAAGCCTGAACACAGAACACCAAACTCCCCTCATGAGGAAACCATGGTCCTCCTCACTACCCTGAGTGACAACACTGTGATATTGATCTAAAGGCTTTGAGCATGTTAAAGCGCCAACAACCGCTGCAACGGTAACACCGGTCGGCCTTCTCACTCTAAACAGTCGTCTGTGTGATGTTACGGTTACAGTTTCATCCGCCTTATATTCAAACAAGAAGCTCACAATGAAGCTGATTCACTGTGAGGGGAGCGTTTTCGTGTTACCAAGATCTGACACACAAGGGAAGGTTACATCAGACGCTGTGTGTTGGTGTTTGAAGAAGCCGACACCGAGGCATTTATCATGTTTACTCTGTTGTGTTGAATAAGTGATTGAGCTTGAGGCTACTGAAGTCTGCAGATGGGATAAATGACTATTAGCAAAACAAAAAAAGCCAAATTTAAAGAGATTTGAATTTACTGCAGAAGAAAACCTTTGAATTGATGTGCTCGCTATTGCGTTTGTTTCTTCGTTTGGTGTTTAAAGGAAGACCTTGGCTGACTCAGCTCCCTGAAAATTGCAAACCAAAGCTCAGAAAGACAGAGGACAGAGGATATGGAAAGTATTATTTAACACTCAAGAAAGACGATACACTCAACACTTCATTTAATAGTGCTGAAGAAACACAGCGACACCCTCGTAAAAGCTGTTCATGGTCAAAGCCATTATTGGTCTTTGTTTGTTTCTGAGCAACAAGGCATTGAGGTGAATAAATAAGACACGGACAGCAGATACAGCTTTCTGACACGTTGATAGCTGGTTATATGTTGAATGACGGGCAAAATAAGGTAATTGGGGGACAAAAACAAGAAAATTGCTGGATGCGTCACCAGACAAAGTTTAGCATATCTCAAGCCTTGAGCTGGGAAGTGAATTATATACTGCAGTGGCTGCTGAAACACAGAAAAAGAAGTTGTCATTTCGAGGACCGCGCTGTGGTTTTCATCTCCAGGAATGTCTCGACTGACATGCAGACAAAGCACAATATGCAAAGCCCAAAACAACCGCTCTGTGGGAGACAAAGGTAGATTTTTCTCTCCGAGTGCGCTGACCTTGTGGTTCTCAAATCGACAAGGCAATTAGACATTCCTGCCATTTCCAGAATTACATCTGGGCTTTTCACAATAGCAGTTCATTTTAGGCTTAACTGTGTGTTGAGCTTATCCCTGTGCTCTGCTCCCCGATCAAAGAGGTTTGATCGAGAGGCAATTGAGCATGTCTATCCAAACTCGAGGCAAAATGAGGGGAAAAATGTGTTCATGTCAACCGTTTTACAGACCATCGCATCATAGCAATATAATATTGTTGGATTGCAGCACTTCTCCTGAAGAAGAGTTGCTTAGGTATAATCTGTCATCCAATGTCCAAGTGTTTAATCTGTATGATCATCACACAGCTCTCTTTACAGTTTTTCTGGATTGCTAAGACACATTTCTTGAAACGGTCACCCATTTTCTCAAAACTGTAAACACAAAACCTCTGAATCCTCTTGCAAAATGAAACTTTCGCCTCAAAACAGTTTTCCCTGTGCTCAAAATCAAACACTGCTCTCAAATCATAAACAAAGTGATCAAAATAATATACACTATCAAGCAGTCAGTAAACAATACACCAATAAATAGAAAACACATTGTTCAAAACATATAGTTCTCAGGGAGAAGTCGATTTTTAATCTCAAAACAAATTTCATATGAACGAAAACATGTTCTATTACAGTAGCTCAAAATTGATCAGAAATTACTACTGTGCTTTGCTCTTTGCAATTTCTTTTGTTCTTCCTCCTCCTTGTACCCCTATTTTTACAGTACTGTACCCTGCATCTCACAAACGTGTCCTTTGTCTCTGTGATACTGTAATTCTTGTTCTTTGTTGATATGAACCTGCAACCAGTCAAAATCTATAGAGCAGTCAGTACTGTTACTGTAACAAATAGAAAGCACGATGTTCAAGGCCATACAATTTGTTTATTGTACATTATACAGCCTACAATGCACTGTAGGCCTACTACAGTATACAATACTACAGTAAAAGGGACAAAAATCAAAGGAGTCAACATGTCATCAATGTGCTTCTTCTTGTCTTTGGGCTGGGTCAGGCCAGAGCACTTCGTCGACATCACAAGCAATATTTTCTCTCCTGAGGCAATGGGGGAAGAAGCCTCTTGTGTGCCGTATCCAGCCCTGCCATGATTCCTCACCTATATCACCACAGGCTAATGCCATGGCTTGCAGCAAATTTACTCTGGTGTAGGGTTGTCTATCATACACTTTCCATCTCCATGAGGAGAAAAACTCCTCAATCGCAGGAAAGGCGAGTATGGAGGGAGGTACAAGGTCATAAACTGACCATTGATGTTAAACCATTCCCTTACCTGAGCAGCTTGATGGAAACTGACGTTGTCCAGCACTATCACATTGGTGGGAATGGGATTCTCATTTAGCTCTTGACCCTGCTGCTCAAATAAAATATCTCTTAGATTGGCCAGAAATCTTAGAAGATGCTGGGTGTTATATGGCCTGAGTGTAACATGGTGATGTAGAACACCATGGTTGCTGATAGCAGCACAGATTGTGACATTGCCACCTCGTTGACCAGGGACTTCAACAATGGCCCGCTGTCCAATCACGTTTCGGCCTCTCCTTCTCCTCTTTGTTAGATTGAAGCCCGCTTCATCGACAAAGATTAACTCATGGGGTCTGTCCAAGGATTCCAAGTCAAATATTGTCTGTGTAGGAATACAATATAATGTATGTAGAATTTAGTAAGTTGTACAGAGACAGTGCTATATTGTAGAGTTTGATTAGGCCTACTGTATGCACTACTGATTCACATACATTGCATGTACTGAAGAGTAATGTCATTCACATAGTATGTGGCAGTACTGTAGACAATCTGGATTACAGTAAATGTGTCTGAATGTACACTTACTTGCACATACTGAGCTCGCAGTTCTTTCACCCTTGGTGAGTTGCGCTCAAAAGGTACTCTGTATACTTGTGTCATTCGTATCCTGTTACGATGGAGGACACGGTCAATTGTGGAAATGCTCACACTGTCGATTCCCTGGAAGTGTGTGTTGTCTTGTATCACTCGTTCCTGGATTTCTCTGAGTCGTATTAAATTATCTTGAAGGACCATGCCCACTATAACTGTCTCTTGCTCCTGAGTGAATATAGCTCTCCTTCCACCTGCATGTGGCAGCCTTGCAGTTCTACAAAAAGTAGATGTGCAGTTACAAAAAATATTCATGCAGTACAATACATACAGTGATAAACTTTACAAATGTCTATTGAAACAGCTGCATATAGTGTAGTACAGTAAATTTGCAATTACAGTAGCATACTGTACCTGTTCTCTTCTCTGAATGTCCTTACTATGGTGGACACAGAAAATCGGCTCAAATTGGGGTGCGCTCTAAGTCCTGCTTCCCTCATTGTCAGTCCGTGGACTATAACATGGTCTATGACTGTTGCTCGAATTTCATCAGATATTTCCACTCTTTGTCTT